TCCTCTCCAGAATATACAGGAGATAATAAGGAAACCCAAATAACTCACTGCATGTCATTTCTTAATTCCTGAGGTTCCCAGGTAGTCTGCCTTCTTCTTTCCATCTTTCAGAATCTTTCTTTCTTTCTTTTTTTTTTTTTTTTTTTTGAGACGTAGTCTCGCTTTGTCGTCCAGGCTGGAGTGCAGTGGTCCCATCTTGGCTCACTGCAAGCTCCGCCTCCCAGGTTCATGCCATTCTCCTGCCTCAGCCTCCCGAGTAGCTGGGACTACAGGTGCCCGCCACCATGCCCGGCTAATTTTTTGTATTTTTAGTAGAGATGGGGTTTCACCGTTTTAGCCAGTGTGGTCTTGATCTCCTGACCTCGTGATCTACCCGCCTCAGCCTCTCAAAGTGCTGGGATTACAAGCGTGAGCCACTGCGCCTGGCCCACAATCTTTCTATGTTTATTTTATAATGCCTAGGCATTTTTAGTAGTAACAGGAAGGATCTGGAAGGAATCAAGCTACTCCATCTTGGCTGGAACTGGAAGTCACCTCAGCAGGAATACTTTTGAAAAACGACAGAGATATTATGATGTTATCTGGAGCAATCAATACATGAGCCAATAAAACAAAAAAGAAAAACACAGGACCTTTCCCACTATGCTAAAAAAGCACTATAATCAAAACCATATAGGCTGAGAAAAGAATAAATAGATTAATGGAACAGAAGTTCAGGAAAAGACAGACTTATGTATGTTTGTGTCCTAAATTGGAAAATTTAGTATATGATACATGAGGCAATTTAAACCAGTGGGGAAAAAATGGGATTTTTCATTAAGAATTATCCCTCAGGACTTTTCCCATGGGCTGGAAAAACAAAGACACATTTTAAAAATATTATATCAGTTTAGTCATCTCACATATAAATAAAACCTATACTAATATATGTTGCAGATAGATTAAAGAACATTTAAATATATCTATTTAAAATAAATGCATTCAACATGGTAGTGTAAATCGGCATAACTACTTTAAAAAAGTGAGATTTCATTCAAGAAAGTTGAAGATACATGTTTCTTAATACCCAGGAATTCCACTCTTCAGTATACACTTCAGAGAAACCTATACATGAGTACCAGGATGCTCTTACAATAATGTTTATAGCATCACTTTTCATAATTGTCACAAATGGAAACAAGCTAAATATTCAACAGTAGGATGTCTCAGTGAACTGTGGTACATGGTGTATTTTACAATTAAACAAAGACATTAGTTACAGTCAATAACATGAATGAATCCCACAAAAAGGGATAAAAAAGCAAGGCACAAAAAAACTGCATACAGTATGATTCAATTCACATGAAGTTCAAAGACAGCAAACATAAATTGTAATGTTTAGGGATGTGTATATAGGTGGTAAAACGGAACAAAAGCAAGGAATTGATAATGATAAAAATCATAATGTAGGCCAGGCGCGGTGGCTCACGCCTGTAATCCCAGCACTTTGGGAGGCCGAGACGGGTGGATTACTTGAGGTCAGGAGGTTCGAGACCAGCCTGGCCAACGTAGCGAAACCCTGTCTCTACTAAAAATACAAAAATTAGCTGGGTGTGGTGGTGCATGCTTGTAATTCCAGCTACTCGGGAAGTTGAGGCAGGAGAATTGCTTGAACCTGGGAGGCAGAGGTTGCAGTGCACTGAGATCACGCCACTGCACTCAAGCCCGGTTGACAGAGACTCCGCATCAAAAAAAAAAAAAAAAAAATCAGAATAGTGGTTACATCTAGGGTGAAAAAGGGACTTCTGATTGGGCCACGAATTTATTCATTCTTTATATGGCTAAGGGCTAAGAATCCATTCACTGTTTTGAAGTGATTTACTACAATCAATAAATATATGTTTCATTAAAAAAATTTATGAACTAGATAATTTCTGGTGCTAAAAAATTGTGAAAGATTCCCACGTCTGCCAAAATGTGATTTATGTTTAATCAGTCATATTATTTTAATAGCAAAAATACACATGCATATTTGTTTTATACATAGTATATACTATAGATAGTGTATCAAATTCAAACTCAATTGCTCTGTTTAGACAATTTAAGATTACTCAGATACTACACAACTGAATGAACACACATTACATCTGTATGCTTCACATTCCTTTCAGTCAAAACAAAAATGATTATAACTGATTTTAGCTGAAAATGCTAATGTGCCATCAAATATTAGTGAAATGTTTTAGAACAGTTTTTCTTTGATTACTCTGAAAGCAAGATGAATTCCTCATTTTTTATGCCTCAAGCCTCAAACTCTCTGAAGTTATTTTAGATATAATACCAGTAATCAATGGAAAAATTATGTTACCTATCATCCATGAATCCTGCTTTTTTTTTTTTTTTTTTTTAAAGGAATCTCCTGAGGGATAACTCTTACAACTCTAAAATAAAAAAAGCATGCACAATGAAAAAAACTGATTCCTTTAGGAAAAAATCACTCTTTAAAAATAGGCAACATTCCTGCTAATTAATTAAACTAATTAAAGAGTATATTAATACTCTGCCTTTAGGGTAAGTCTTCTTTAAGGCTGCATCTTCAGCCCAATTTTAATACCTCATATAACTTTTCTGTGAGATTCCATTCACTGACTAGCATGGCCTCAATTAACTCTCTTGTATGAGGACAAACCTTAATATCAATTACTAGATTGTATTTCTCTTCTGAGTTCCAGGCTGATTTATCCAATGACTTATTGGATATTTGGTAATCTGAGAGGGACCTCAAACTCAGTAAGTCCAAAACATACTTTTTCCTATTAATAATATTCTGTCTCCAAAACATCCGTTTTAAGTTAACAGCAACACCATCTACTCAATTTCCCAAGCCAGAAATCTGAGTCAATCTTTCCATTTTCCCCTAAACATCCAATAAATTATCAAGTATTGTTGATTCTACTTTCTTAAATAATATTTTTCAAATCTTGTTTTCTTCTCTAGCCTCACTGTCAATGCTTAAGTTCAGGTTCTAATCATTTTGTGCCTACATTCCTGCAACCTGGTCTCCTTCCATCTAGGTAAAACCTCTTCTCTGCTAAAATCATTTTTCTTACTCATCATAGTAAGGCTTTTAAAAAGTACCAAAATGATTATGTTACTTTCTTCCTTAAAAATCACATAAAGGAATCCCATAATTTTCAGGATCAAAACCAAACTTCTTAACATGGGATAAAGGCCTGCTTCCAGCCCTTTATCTTACCAGTCTTTATTTATACCCTATAATCTGGTATCCTATTATTTCATGTTTATGCTTCTGTATAAAACTCCAATTTCCTGGGGGTTACCTCTTGGAAAGACTTTGCTGATTTACTTTTTTCAATGTCCAGGTGTCCCTCCTGTGTATTTCCATAAAACTCTTGGTTTACCTTCATCAGTTAACACATACTTTAATTGTATTGTCAGAGAGGGTGCCTTTATAATACGTAATTCAATTCAATATTCTTTACATAAATGTAGCTTAATTATTTATATATTTATTAATTGCTTAAAGTTTCTAGAGTTCAATTTTTGAGTCATTATAAAATGTATTTCAAGAAGTAATATCCTCATGCTTTTCCAACCCTTTAACAACACTTGATATTTTTAGAAGTCATTGAATGTCAAAAAAAATCTTTATTCATTTCAATTTCCTCATATGAAAAATGAGAGACCTGGATTAGACCTAAAGTTCCTCCCAGCTAAAATATTTTATGAGTTCACACAAAGTTGGAATAAATTTCTTGAAAAAATTTTTAAAGCTAGAATATTAATTACCACATTAATTTCTGATGTTGATCATATATTAGAACGCTTGGCATATTGAAGCTAATAGTGTATCATATAATGGATCAATGGGCTTACTCGATTTAAAAATAATGCAAACAAATTACAAGATTTTTTCTTTTTAAAAATGTCCCTTGAGGCCAGGTGCAGTGGCTCACGCCTTAATCCCAGCACTTTGGGAGGCCAAGGTGGGTAGATCACCCGAGGTCAGGGGTTCAAGACAATCCTGGCCAACTTGGCGAAAACCTGTCTCTACAAATATAAAATTTAAAAAAAATATTAGCCGGGTGTGGTGGCACGTGCCTATAATTCAAGCTACTCAGGAGGCTGAGGCAGGATAATCACTTGAACCCAGGAGGTTGGAGGCTGCAGTGAGCTGAGATCATGCCACTGCACTGCAGCCTGGGTGACAGAGCGAGACTCTGTCTCAAAAAAAAAAAAAAAAAAAAAAAAGCCCCTTGAGTCATAGAATAATTATTTTGAATTGAATTTGAATTTACTGAAAGATTTGAATTTATTGAACTTGATATTGAAAAGTTTAATCAAATCAAGCTTAATGATTTGTTGCGATCTTTACATGTCATTGTTAACATTTAACCAGTATTGTTTATCCTTCATTATTACTATCCAATTATTCAATCTTGCTTTTGAAAAAAAAATACATTATGTTAGGAGATTAATATTCCATAAGACTTAGTAAAATGTTAGAGACAGAAGAATGTCATAATTCTCTAATTTTTAAAGAGTAAGTCAATTTTTCATTACTGTAATGTAAATTATCAATTGAAATTGGCATACTGTGTTTTCAAAGGAACCCAGAAAAATAATGTACTAAAAGACAGATATTATTTAAAAGTGGTGAAGGCTTATAGGGAAAAGAAATTGCAACAAGATAAAAAGATAACCCATTATGCACACCAATGCTTATATACAATGTTTTCATATGTAGATTTTTAATGAACTGCACAGGAAAGGGCTCCTTTTTGATTCTCCTAATATTTTAGTCAGAAATTCATTGCAAATAGCAGATAAGTCTGATGGTGATTATCTGATACATATAAATTTTTAATTCAACAATGATAACTTAGAATTAAATAATATTCTAGCATAGCCAAAGATCAATGGCATAAAGAAAAACAATTCTTCCCCACCCCTCACCAAGATGCTAGGTCTTTGTAGAGGTGAAAAACGCCATACTATACCTTGATTTCTTCTATTTCGTCTGGTACTATCTTGTATGCTGATATAGTCCCACCCAACCTGAAATTAGAAGAAGAAAATATTCTCAAAACCAGCAATAGTGTTTTAAAAGTATAAAAAATTTCTGCCATTACCATCAGAATGCTACCAATAACTCTCAGTATTCACCCCAACCACCATGGAGGAAAAACAAACATTTTGTGCATACATTTTCCATGTATTAGTTTAAAAGAGGTAGATAATGAATGACTACCAAAAGAGAAAATATTGTTGATTTTTACCCATAACTAAACTCCTCTTATTGATGACTTTAATAATGCTGAAACTGTCACTTTTACTGCTGTATTCTGTCACAGCTAACATGCATCAGGAACTGACAGCAAACATGTTTGACTTTTTTAAGAAAGAAATCATAGCTTTTTACTTTTTATAGTAGCTTTAGGTTTACAGAAAGATAGAGCAGAAGAGCATTCACATATTCCCGCCCTCCCTTCTCCATGACTTTGTTTCCCTTGTTATTAACATCTTGCATTAGTGTGGTACATGTGCTACAACTGGTGAACGAACATTGATTTTGCTCCTTTTTTCAAGTAATTTGAACCGGGAGTCAGAGAGATGTGTGTGCCCAGCACTGTCCAAGGGGAAGAGATGAGAATTTGGGAGTTACAGATAATTTAATCCTTAAAGACAGTGATGCCATTATATGTCATATTCACCTGTTTGAAATATTTTTTAGAAAGCAACTAAGCTTCATATAAGATCATGTGCTAGGTATGTATCATATATTATCTAATTTAATCCGTGCAATTCTCTCTATTATAAAAATGGGGAAATTGAGAAAGAACATTCAGTAATTTTTCTTAAGCAACTGAAGGAACTAGCAAATGAATGAGTTGAGATGTACAAAAGTGTAAAATATACACCAGATTTTGAATACTTAGTATGAAAAACAGAATAATTTTAATATATTGACTACATGTTAAAATAACATTTTATACATATTGGGTTAAATATATTATTAAAGTTATTTTCATCTGTTTCTTTTCACTTTTTAAAATGTGGCTACTTAGAAACTTTAAAATTACATACAGGGTTGTGGCCCCCATTACATCTCTATCAGGTACTCTAGGCTAATACACTCCAAATTACCTAATTGCCTTTGTTCTAATTCAGTGCTTACCAAGGAACCTTCTGATTACTTATCTAAGCTTGTAAGCACCTCAGTAACAAAAAAAGAAGTATCATACGTAAGAGACTTATGTATTATGGACCCTTTAGGATATCTCCTCTCCCAAATGTAAAATAATAAATCCCATTCTGGTTTCCATTAAAAAAAAAAAATCCAACCAAATGATTTGTATTAAATATGCATTAAAACTCTTTAATATTTATTACCACTTATTCTTACTAAAGAAACTAGTGTTCAAATCTTTTTTTTTTTTTTTTTTTGAGACAGAGTCTCACTATGTCACCAGCGTGATCTCGGCTCACTGCAACCCCGCCTCCCAGGTTCAAGCGATTCTCCTGCCTCAGCCTCCCGAGTAGCCGGGATTACAAGCATGCGCCACCACGCCAGCTAATTTTTGTATTTTTAGTAGAGACAGGGTTTCACCATGTTGGCCAGGATGGTCTTGATCTCCTGACCTCGTGATGCCCCCGCCTCAGCCTCCCAAAGTGCGTATCCAAATCTTGATTTGAGAATTATTTCTTACACTTAAAATACCATGATTAAATGGTGGAAACACAAATGAATTTTAACTTAATTCACTTCATATGAGGTATACCAGTAATGTAACAAACAAGATCATAGTAAGATAGCTATATGATCAAGTGGCTAAATAATGGAGGAAACTTGGAGGAATTCCATATTATGCTGAACATAGAAATGAGAAAGAAGATGAAAGCTGAGGTAAAAACCAGAAAAAATCCTAGAATATAGAAACAATCTAGAAAAAAACTAATAGAAACAAGTGAGACATATACATTATTAAAAACATCTGTTCACTAATAAACCTACTTCAGCCCATCATTTCTTTCCATTACCTGACTATAACCAAAATAAGGAAAACTTTACCAACTAGTAGTTTTTACCTTTGAACTGATTTCTGAAAATGACATTTCTATTTTCATGACTTCATTAAACACAGATAGTTTAATATGCTATCAGTATTGCACAGTTACTGCACTGAGGCCCAGATAATAACTCACTCCAAATTTTATGTTCTTCTATTATATTACACTGTCCTTCTCATTGTTGAAGAAAGAATTCACTCTGGCGTAAAATATAGTCCTATTTTACTCTAGTCAATATATAAAAATAGTATTATATTGGCAGTGATAGTGGTAGTAATAGTTGAAATACTACACATAAATATATATATATATATATATATTTTTTTTTTGAGACAGAGTCTTTCTCTGTTGCCCAGGGTGGAGTGCAGTGGTGCGATCTCAGCTCACTGCAACCTCCGCCTCCCGGGTTCAAGCGATTCTCCTGCCTCAGTCTCCTGAGTAGCTGGGACTACAGGCACATGCCACCACACCTGACTAATTTTTATATTTTTAGTAGAGACGAGGTTTCACCATGTTGGCCAAGATGGTCTCATCTCCTGACCTCGTGACCCACCTGCCTTGGCCTCCCAAAGTGCTGGGATTACAGGCAGGAGCCATCACGTCCAGCTGCATTTTGACCATTTTAAAGTGTGCAATTCCGTGGCATTAAATACATTCACAGTATTGTATATCATTACTATTTCCAAAACGTTTGCATCACTCAAAACAGAAACTGTAAACATTAAGCAGTAATTCTTCATTTACCTCTCACCCCAGCTCCTGGTAACCTCTAATCTACTTTCTGTTTCTGCGAATTTGCCTGTTCTAGACACGTCACGTAAGTAGAATCAGACAACATTTGTCCTATTGTGTCTGGCTTATATCATTAAGCATAATGTTTTCAAAATTCTTTCATGTTGTAACATGTAGCAGAACTTTATTCCCTTTTATGGCTGAATAATACTTCATTACATATGCACACTACATTTTATTTATCCATTCAGCTGTTAATGGATGCTTGGATTGTTTCCATCTTTTGGCTATTATGAATGATGTTATGATGAATACGGGCATATAAGTGTCTGTTTGAGTCCCTCTTTTTAAGTTTTTGGGGAATATACCTAGGAGGTAGAGTTGCTTCGTCATTCTATGTCTAGCTTTCTGAGAAACCACCAAGTTGTTTTTCACAGTGGCTGTATTATATATTCCTATGAGCAATATATGAGGGTCCAATTTCCACATCCTTGTCAAAGTTGTTATTTTCATTATTTTTTAATGGCCATCCTAGTGGGTGTGAAGTAGCCTCTCATTGTGGCTTGAATTTGCATTTCTCTAATGACTAGTAATGCTGAGGATCTTTTTATCTTTTACTGGCCATTTGTGCTATCTTTGGATAACAAGTCCTCTACCCATTTAAAATTTTTTTTTTTGTAGTTGTTGAGTTGTTCAAGTTCTTTACATATTCTGAATTTTAAACTCTTATCAGATATATGGTTTTAAAATATTTCTCCCATTCTATAGGTTGTCTTTTCACTTTCTTGATAATGTTGTTTGATGCACAAAACTTAAATTCTGACGAAGTCTACTTCATCTATTTTTTTCTTTTGTTGCTCATGTTATTGGTGTCATATATACAAATCCACTGCCAAACCCAAGGCAATAAAGATTTATCCCTGTTTTCTTCAAAGAGTTTTATGGTTTTAGCTCTTGTATTTAGGTCATTAATCCATTTAGAGTTCATTTTTCTATATGGTGTGAGGTATGGTTTCAAGTTATTTATTTTCCATGTTAAAATTTGGTTGTCGAGGAAATTTCCTTTCTCAAAGCTATGGTCACAGCTTTGACTTGGCACCCTTGTCAAAATTCAATTGGCCACAGATGCATGGGTTCATTTCTATATCATCAGTTGTATTCCATTGGTCTATAGGTCTTTATGTCAATACCATGCTGTCTTGATTACTCTAAGCTTTGAAGCTGGGAAGTGTGAGTGTGCCAATATTGTCCTTTTTCAAAACTGTCTTGACTACTTGGGACACCTTGAAATTTTAGGGACCTTATAGAAATTTTAGGTTTGGCTTTTCCATTTCTGAAAAAAAAAATGACTACTAGAATATTGATAGGAACTATATTGAGTCTGTAGATAACTTTGGGTAGTACTGACATTTTTAAAATATTAACTTGGTCAGGCATGGTGGCTCATGCCTGTAATCCCAGCACTTTGGGAGGTCGAGGCGGATAGATCACGAGGACAGGAGATAGAGACCATCCTGGCTAACAGGGTGAAAACTGTGTCTCTACTAAAAATAAAAAAAATTAGCTGGGTGTGGTGGCGGGCGCCTGTATTCCCAGCTACTCGGGAGGCTGAGGCAGGAGAATGGCGTGAACTTGGGAGGCAGAGCTTGCAGTGAGCCAAGATGGCGCCACTGCACTCCAGCCTGGGCAACAGAGCGAGACTCCGTCTCAAAAAACAAACAAAAAAACAACCCTTTCATTCCATAAACATGAGATACTTTTCCACTTATTTAGGTCTTCTTTAATTTCCTTCAGCAATATTTTGTAATTTTCAATGTCTTTCACCTCCTTGGTTAAATTTATTTCAAGGGATTTTAAATGGAATAGTTTTTATTTCCAGTTTGGATTTATTGCTGGTATATAGAAACACAAATGATTTTTGTGTACTCAGCTTGTATCCTGCAACTTTGCTGAACTCATTTATTAGCTCTAGTAGCTTTCTTGTGATAAAAAACGTTTTATATGTAGCAGCATGTTATCTGTGAACAGACATAGTTTTACTTCTTCCTTTCCAATGTAGATGCCTTTTTTTCTTTGTCTGCCTGTTCTGACTAGAACCTGCAGTACAATGGTGAACAGCAATAGTGAAAACAAGAACATCTGCCTTGTTCCTGATATAAGGAGAAAACCTTTTTCTCATCACTGAGTATAATGATGTTAGCTGTGGGCTTTTCATAGATGCCTACTTATCATGTTAAGGAAATTCCCTTCTTTTC